ATGCCGACCCTGCACCTCCTGGATGAAGCTCCACTCCTACAAGAAGTGGGAACTGCAATACGAGGGATCAGCAACAACAAGAGCGCTGGACCTGACGGCATTCCTGCTGAAATTTACAAACATGGAGGTCCCCATCTGACTGAGCGCCTCCATAGCTTCTTACTCACCATATGGGCCACAGAGACCATCCCCCAGGATTGGAAAGATGCAAATATCAAAACAATCTATAAGAATAAAGGTGACAAAGCAATCTGTGGTAACAGCAGGAGCATCTCCCTCCTTGTAGTTGCTGGCAAGATCCTGTCAAAAGTCATGTTCTCAAGACTTATCCAAAACCTAACGGAGAACACTCTTCCTGTATCCCAATGTGGATTAAGGAAGGATCGCAGTACAATAGACATGATCTTCGCAGCTAGGTAAATTCAAGAAAAGAGTCGAGAGCAAAACATAGACCTTTACACCGCCTTCATTGACCTCTCCAGAGCTTTCGACACAGTAAACGGAGAACTTTTGTGGACTACATGTATGTTGGAGAGGGTCGGTGTACCACCAAGATTTTTAAACATCCTCCGCCAGATGCATGATGGAATGCAAGCCCGGGTACTTGTAGGTGGTGTGCAGTCAGAACCATTTAGTGTCCAAATGGGCTTAAAACAGGGCTGTGTGCTGGCACCTGTGTTGTTTAACATCTTTTTGCTGGCTGTAGCACAACTCTCACACAATGCCCTTGGGCCTGATGCAGGTATGGGTATACGGTACCGTCTTGACAGTAGCCTTTTTAATATTAGACGTCTGGAAGCCTACACAAAGACCTTAACAACTCAGGTCATAGAACTACAGTATGTAGACGACTGTGCAATAATGACACATAACAGAGAATCTATGCAACGTGCACTGGACGTGATCTCAGGTATTTACAGCTCGCTTGGTTTGCAAATTAACACCCAGAAGACTGAGATTTTTGTCCAGTCCATTGTTCCACCAAAAGAAGCACCACAATTCTACACTAATGGAGATCTTATCAAAATAGTAAACCAGTTTAAGTACCTTGGTAGCACTCTCACACCCACCTGCTCACTGGATATGGAAATTCAAACCAGAATCAATTTAGCCTCAGCTGCATTTGGACGTTTGAGAACAAGAGTCTTTCTCAACAATGACCTCAAATATGGAACGAAGACTGCAGTTTATCTCGCGGTTTGTATATCTACATTATTATATGCCTCAGAAACCTGGGCGCCCTACAAACGCCATATCCAAATGCTGGAAAACTTCCACACTAGACACCTTAAGCGTATCTTTGGAATATCCTGGGAAGATAGAGTGACCCGTGAAGAACTATATCGTCGCTCAAACACGACCAGCATTGAAACCACGCTAGCCAAAAGACACTTGTGCTGGCTTGGACATGTTATCAGGATGCCAGACCACCGGCTTCCAAGACAAATATTACATGGCAAGCTCTCAAATGGAAACCGCTCGGCGGGAGGACAGAAAAAAGAGATATAAGGACCACTCTAAAACTCTACTCAAGTGCTGTAATATACAACCAAATTCACTGGAGCAACTAGCCTCAGACCGTTCCTTATGGCGCTCAACATGCCATAGAGGAGCGGAAACACTTGAGACCTCACTGAACCAAAAGAGAGCTACTAAACGAGCCCAACGACATCAGAGGGTCCAAGGCATAATTCTCTCAATGAACAACATCCCTGTCACCTATGCAACAAGATCTGCGCCTCCAGGATTGGACTCCATAGTCATCTACGGTGGCATCAGAGAAATAACACATAACTCACCAATCATCTCATCTGGAGCAGCATCGTCATTGACTTCGATGGACTGCCATAAGCAGTAGGGTGTGTCAATTTTGTCAACATGTTAAAAATCAAATTTGGTAGTCAAAATATTGTGCCTCTTTATGTCTAAACTTGAGATCAGTAAACAAAAATGAATTGAAATAACCCTCACCTACATCAATTATACCTTAAAGTTTCAAATATCAGTATTTCAACAAATTAATGAGACTTGATTAGAATTATTCACTTGATATTAACTAATCTCATGTAAGCATATGGATTATGGAGTATTTTATGGTTCTATAGCTTGTGTACAATATGCATGTCAGAACATGAACATGAACAGGCTCTCCGTGTGGGACAGTTTAATTCTTGTTTTGACTTGTACCAAGCGTGAGGATAAGGCGCCCGGCTCACTCTCCTTCTAGATATCATAGACGGTGGTTTGCTCTCATTGCACTTGCACCTACTCTACCAGACGAATTCTACATTTTAATTATTGTAAGTAGGGCATATTGATTGTCGCAGTTACTTATATCATTGTATAAAACATTATGTTCTAAGAAATTATTATGTTATTTCTGTTACAGCATTTTTGATAAACAAATTGATATTTTTTGAAACAACAATTGAATTATGAAACATTGAAATATTTTTCTATTTGTCAGATAGTGTGAAGATGTCAAAATTGAAGACAAGAAGTCAGTTGTCAACCCACTTGAGCCTGCTAGTTGGTAAAGGGAAGGAGCTTCCTGTATCAGAACTTCCAACAGTGAGAGACATGCTAAGATTAAGGTTACTCCTTCGAGAAAAAAATGCAAAGGACAGAAGGAACTATACAGATAAAGAACTCATAAATGACATGATAGTCCCTCTTCTGCATCAATGGACAAAAGCTAATGCACTATTCAAACCACCTGTGATTAATCAGTGTCGAACTATTGAGCTAAAACTAACGAAATTATGGCACAAAGCAGTTGAAACATCACTTGGTAAAGGAAACTTGGCCAGGAAAAATGAATTTCTGCACACACTTGATACTCTGTTTGACATTTTGACCTGCAAGTGCTCCATACAATTATGTTCTGAATCCAACTGTTCTCACTCAGGTAAGAGAAAATAATTCCCACATTGATTGTGGTTGTCCTCGTGAAAAGAAGATCCCTGTTTTAGAGCTTGAATTTATAAAGGCACAGAGGACAAAGGCAGAAGGCCAAGGAAGTATGCAAATGGGTTCAATAGATTATTCAGAAACAAAGAAGCAGATTGCTAATGCCAAGAAGAGAGAACAAATCCGAGAGAGGGAACAAAAGAAAATGAAGAGTGAAGAAGCCATCCAAAGAGGAAGAGCTGTGTCAAGATGTTTATCACTTCTTTGATAGTTCTTCTGATGAACAGGAAGCAACATCAGATGATAGTTCCAAAGAGCCATCTGAACCTTTACCAAAGAAAATGAAATACAACACAAGAAATATTTCAAACATTGCTTTAGCTAGTATTCGCCACCATGCTGGACTTCGTGAGGCTGCAGAAATTGCAACTGCCGCTTGGATAGATGCAGGCCTCATCAGCCGAGAGGATGTATCTTTGGTGATAGATCATAATAAAATTAGAAGAGCACAAGAAAAAATAATGAAGGAAATATCTGATCAGCATGAAAAAGATTTAAGCGAGGGAGGGCTCTCCTGTCTTTTGTTTGATGGAAGAATAGATGACACAAAAGTTTTGCTAGAAGTAGAGGGAGTGAACAGAAAGTTTCCAGGTCTCATCAAAGAAGAACACTTCTCTGTCTGTTCTGAGCCTGGTGGTCTGTTTTTGTTTCACTTTGCTCCCGAAACTGAAGTAGAAGGGAAGAAACATGCAGAGGTCATTGCTGATCATATTTTATGTTGGGTTCAGGAGAGAGGACGTGGCAGTTCACTGCAGGCTGTTGGTGGAGATTCAACTGCAGTGAACACCGGATGGCAGGGGGGTGTAATGACGCATTTAGAGAAAAAAACTAGGAAGAAGACTTGTTTGGATTGTATGTGATTTACATACAGGCGAGCTACCTCTTCGTCATCTCATCCAGGAACTTGATGGTCCTACAAAGAGCAACAACAAGTGGTCAGGTCCCCTTGGCATCATGCTGGATGAAGCAACACAACTAGAAATAAATACAACCTTTCCAAAGGTCGAAGTTGGCCCTCCCCTTCCGGCGTTGTCTGAAGGAGTCATCAAAGATCTCAGCACAGATCAATCCTATGCTTATCGTATTGCCCAAGCAATAAGATCAGGAGAAGTGCCTCAGTCATTGGCTCTCTTGGAGATTGGACCTGTCAGTCACAGCCGTTGGTTAACTACAGCTCTTCGTTTCTGCAGGATTTGGATTTCCAAACACGAATTGAAGGGCAAAGTGCTGAAGAATTTGAGGTTAATTGTTGAATTTATTATTGGAGTTTATCTTCCCCAGTGGTTTAGTGTGAAACTTAATCCTATGTGGGTGGATGGGCCCAATCACCTTTTGTTTCAATTGCAGCTAGTAAGAACACAGAGGAAGGTAGTGAGGGACATCGTGTTACCTGTGGCAAGAAGGTCCGCTTGGTATGCTCGATCAGAAGCAGTTTTGCAAGCAATGCTTTGCAGTCAATGTACCAATCTCCGAACCGAGGCTGTAGAAGTCATTCTAAAGATTAGAGGAACGCTAATAGATGACGACCAGTTGGGAGACTGTTCGTTTCATTCAAGAAAAGTTCCCCCAATAAACGTCAATGCCACCAAATTGTCAGAATTGGTTGACTTGAGTTTGGAAGTCTTAGAGCCACCATTGACAACAAGTCTAACTAGCCAAGAATTGAGAAACCTTAAAGAGACTCCAATGCAGGTGCCGAAGTGGCCTTCCCACACTCAAAGTGTGGAGAGATGTGTGAAAATGGTCACAGAAGCAGCGGGCCATGTTTACAGCCACGAGAGGCGAGAAGGTTACATCAAAGCACAAATAGCAAGCAGACTACTGATGACAAGAAACCAAAGCAAAGAGAGTATGAAGGCATTGGTTACTTTCAAATAGACTACGGATAATAAAATATAATAATTTGAAACTTGAAACAGTAACATGTGTGCAAACGCTGGTTATGTTATAAATTCACAAATATGTACATTTAAAAATCCATTTGATGTAGGTAGGACTTATTATAAAAAAAAATTTATGCCAGAATATTG